GTCGTCCTCAAGACCGGCCGGGGCGCGGCGGGAGCGTCATCAGAGTAAAGTGAGGTACATGTAGACGAAACAAAAGAGGTACGGAGCGCGAGTCGGGGCGGCGTCGGCGTCGGCGTCTGCGGCGGCCGAGGCTGTGAGGGGCGCAGGCGCTGCAGGAGCTGTGTGGGCCGCGGCGGCGCCGGCGCCGGCGACTGTGGCTGCGGCGCCGCCTCTAGCGGCCCCGCGCCCACCGCAGCAGCGCGTCCGCCAGCACGTCCAGGTGCGCCTTCGTCTGCAACAGCGCGCCAGCCGCCGGTCAGTGCACACCCCTTGGGAACATTTGGGCGAGAAATTATTGTGTTAACCACAGACTCCCGCTTTTATTTGAACACAAAGAACAGCATCAAGAAAAGCATCATATTTGAGCGGCGTCTTCTTACAACCACGAAATTGAAGATAGAGATTTTCCTATTCAATGAAATTTTTTGTCCATAATTAGTTCTTTCATTAAGGTAAATTTTTTTAAAATTTTTAATCGTTTTCGCGCCACATTCGGAGCAGTGCAGTTAAATATTGCAATGCAATTAATGCAATTAAATGCAATTAAAAATGTATGCAATTAAAAAATTAAAAAACCTATTTTTTCACAGAACGGCTCCAATTTTTTCTTTAAGTTTTTGGTAGGCAAATTGTAAAATGCATTCTTTAAGATGACATAAACGTTATATTGCTCGATTCTTTTATGTTTGTTTTCGAAATTAAAAAAATATTGTTTTATGTAACTCTCATGTCGTCAATATATGTACTAGACTCATTTGGTTTTCGTTATTATATTTATGAGTACATGTGCTTTAAATTAAGAACTTAAAGTTTCTCGAAACTTCAACTGTCTTCTGTGAAAACTAACTAATTTTCAGAAACGCTCATACGCTTTTGTCTCAAAAACGCTTTATTTTTTAAAAAAAATTCCTATTGGATAGAGCTAATTGATCTCCTGAATATGACGCGAAGTTTATTGGAGATATTTTATTGTTTTTTCAATGTTTGAAATATCTCTCACGCCGTTAATTTGCACATTTCCACCAGTTTGTATACATTATTACACTTATGAGTGGAAGTTTTGGAAATGACTTCAAATGAAGTTTTTCAAAAACTAAAAAAAATCTGTGAAAACGAGCTTCAAATTTCGATTTCCACTAGTGCTTAAACGCTATTTTCTTAAAAACCGCTCCAAATCATTAAAAGAAAATGGCCATTTAAGACGAGGTTTTACGGTTTTTTAATATTCTTAAAATAATATTTCCGTTCTTCTGTTTATATTTGTGAAAATAAAAAAGTACTTTGGGCGGCGATAGATGGCAGCTGGCAAGAATGTGGCATGAGCGTATAGCTAGCCGAGTCCAAAGGAAATAGAAAACTAATACGGGAATTCTGTGCCATTCTGTACCGTTATTAGTTACTACTGTACTATAGAACACGCGCTCAGATAGTGAAATAACAGTAAATAACAAACTTAATAAAAAATCCCCCCCAAAAGGCTCCAGGACATGACAGAATAAATAATAAAATCAAAAAAAATCTGCCAAACCAAGCCATAGTATTTTTAAATAATATTTATAATTCTTCATTATGAACAGGTTATTTCCCACATTTATGGAAACACTCTATAGAGATACCCATACCAAAACCACACAAAAAACCATCCAATGTAGCAAACTACTGGCCAATACCCCTGTTAGTATCCTTATCTAAAACTCTAGAGAAAATTATTCAGCAAAGACTCAATAATTTCTTCAAAAAAAATGAAGACATTCCCAGACATCAATTTTGATTCACAGAAAAGTTTTCAACCGCACATCAACTATCAAGGACCACAGAAAATATCCATACAGCATTCCAAAAAAACTACATATTATGTCAACCACTCTAGACATTTCACAATCATATGAGAGAGTACGGCATCAAGGTGTTATGTACAAACGTAGAATCGTTGGCACATATAAATATCTAACCAAAATCATCAATAGCTTCATAAGCAACAGAACTTTTTCAGTTTCAATAGATAATCCTCTCTCAAGCCCCAAACCAATATTGGCTTGACTTCCTCAGGGCTCCCCACTTTCACCAATATTATTCAATCTTCACGCTGCGGATATCCCTACATCCAACACAATCCATGCAGCACAATTCGCACATGATACAGCATTGTATTATTCTAGCACAACACTTATTACACTAAAAAACAAAACACATCATCTAAACCAAATATACTCTTGGTCAAACAAATGGAAAATAAATTAAACCCAGCTAAGTCAACAGCAAAAATATTTTCATTAAAACAATTTCAACACCACCACCCATCACACTGAACTATAACACCATTCCTTGGACTCCACAAAACAAAAGTGAAATATCTAGAACTGCATTTAGCCACAAAACTTAACTGGAATGAACGTACTCATATTAAAACACAACAAACAAAAGTCAAACTAATCCAATTAATACCATGAATAAACGGCCATACTAAAATAACTATAGAATATGCCAAACTCATATATACAACCGTAATAAAACCCCTAATGCTATATGGCTGTCCTGTCTGAAATAATGGAGCAAAAACCAATATCCATAAAATACAGGTCACACAGAATAAATTCTTGCGATCAATAACCAATGCACCCTGGTTCATCACAATTAAACAACTTCATAAAGGAATTCAAATAAAACCTTTTATACATCAGATCACTAAGTTATCCCATAAATTAACAATAATATGTCATCAATTACCCAACTATTCTAATACAACGTAGACAAAGTACCCATAAATGTCACCAAAATAAAAAGATATTTACCAAATATGATTTTTACATACAATTTGCAAATTTGGATGTTTCTTTTTGAGGAGCTCAGTGGGTTTCTTCACCCTACGAAATAATTGTAAAAAAATAATAGTTTTGTTTTTTTAAATAGTAAGCATTAAAACACTTGTGAAAAAGTTTGTACTGTTAAAATGAACCATGTATCACATTCAAAATAGTAATAAATAAAAAAGGAGTGGATTTTCGTTCTTCACTTTTACTGCCTTAAGTCAATATTGCGCAGTTTACTAAAAATTATCATATCTACTACAGAAAGAGACTCTTTGGCGTGTGAATGAAATGCTAATAGACAAGGCAGCGATAGATACGGAGCTATCATTTCAAAAGTCGTGTGCAAAGAGACTTTCGTACGAGAAGAGTCTATTATTATTTTACTCACGTTTATGGAGAGATACAAGTGCATACTGTTGGGATTATTGACAAAATGTGAGTCAGCTGGTCTTCCTTATTCATTATACCCTGAGTTTTGTTTACTTTGTGCTACCTGGTGTATGTTTTCGGTACGCGTCCCGCAAAGTGTGCTGCGTAACACGCGTGAAACAGAGAATGTGAAACAGTGAACAGATAAACTAAACAGTGAATGGATGTCCTGATCTTTGTACATGGGTGTTGAACGCATTGCCCTCACTTAATTTGGACAGTAGGTATCCATTCATTTTAAAAGAAAATCGCGGGGTATCAGGGGAACCCGAAACCCGTATTTCCTTTGAAATGTCGAAACGTGAATCCGTTGCAAACCATTGAAATCGATTTTTCCCACTATTACATAACTTTGCCTGTGCTACGTATATTACGCCATGAATTCAGAAACGCATAAGAAACAACTAGCGAATCTCTTACTTTGTTCAAAGATAAATCCACACTAAGAAGAAAGATACTGAGCCGCTGGATGTGTAGATACAATAATAAGTGGTTGTTTGAAGTGTCAACATGCCGGCGCGGTATGTCAGACTGCGATACGAATTAAAGGCAAACTGCATCCATAATTTGTTCATAATTCGCAATTAGTCTTTTTATATCATGAATTGCGAAACGCCATACGTAAACTCTTAAATGAAATGTTGTAAGTGATAAAATGTGTCTGTGGATTAACAGATGTCAGTATTTAAAAATTTATTGATGACGGGTTTTTCAAATTTTCTATTATTATAAATGTTTTAAAATACTTTTAAAATGATTTTTTTTGAATTGAAGATGTCTGAAACGGACTTAAGAATGTGACGTTATCGAGAGCCTAAAATAATAATATTAATAATAATGATAATTAAAAAACAACAATAATAATATTAATAATAATCATCCACTCCCAGGAGGCTGCAGGTGACAAGAAGCCACGTTATCACTTTCCGTGAATAAACATATTGGTTTAGCATGTGAATTGTAACTTTCGTTTACCAACTGTGACAACAATAAAATTTTACAATTCATCATCAAAATTCAATGGTAATAATGACAAAGCTAAACTATGAATAAATTAACGTTACATCGTACAGTGTATGTGACACTAAATGGCAATCTGATGATTGGCGCAGAATGTATTGAAAATCATTGATCTCCATTTCCCGTAAGAAGGAACATTTTTTCAGTTTTCCTATTTCCTCTCAATTTTTATATCTAAGATAACACGTGTAAATACATTCTTTAACAAGATGTTTTTCGAAAATATAATTTTCATTAAAATAGCAGTCAAATTTACCAATTTGTGGGGTCTAGTATTTTTACACGATAAAAAATCTTTACTTTAAAAAATAATTCGGTTTTCATAAAAACGTATTATTTAAGTTTGTAAGAAAGGTTAGATAATTGGGAAAAAATTGAAGAAGAAAGTTCCCAAGAAAATGTTCCTTAAAGAAAAGACATTTGAACATGGATACACCTCTACCGTATGCCCTTAAAAGAACGTAAAAATAAATAATGTATGCACCACTGGTGTTAACTGCTGATCACCTAAGACCTTCGAGCTTTTTGTCATCGCTCGATCATTTTTAAATAGTACTAATATTATGGTGTTGCAAATAAATGTATTTTTTAGACATTCTTTAGAATACGGTTACTTTTAGGGTATACAGAGAGTGCTAAATTTAAATATTTAGCACTAGTGCTAAACGCGACACGATGCTCAAATTATTCGCATAAAAGTGTGACTGCAACAAAGAAAACAAAATATTTTCGTAAGACCGTACTACTGACCTCAACGTACCATAGTATTCAATTAAAACTGTTGGTATATTTGAATGAAAATGGGACTCGAAAGTGAACAGTGTATAAAATAAGTGGTAAAATTAATTATATTATGCTCGTTGGATGACATCACGCGTTTGAAAGCTACAATGCCTCCTTTACAACGTGTATCGTAAATAACTATTAATAACTTGTGAAAATTGACACCATCTGCTGTTTTAGCGTCCGATAAGATGGTAAGGGTTCCAGACTTAACTATTTTACTCTTTCACACAAATTTAAATTATATCATCCCTCGTACTTGCTGCAACTATTACTCTTACAAAAAAATCTGTCTTCCGCCTTAATCGCTCTGTGTATAAATTTGCGATGAGGAGATTGCGTACCGTTTTATAGAACATACACGCTTGGCGGTCCTCGTCTTCGCCGCTGGGGCAGTCGATGAAACCGTCGCAGAGCACGTGGTCGTCGATGCAGCGGTAGCGGCCCATTCGGTCAGGCGTGGGGCACGCAAACCGTTCCATGCCGTCTTCTGCCGGCGGGCACTCTGTGGACAGACACCACCAGGGATCACTGCAAGGTCCTGGCTGACAGCGTGGAGGAGATAAAAGTGAAAGGAGTTATAGTACATGAAAGTAAAATAATTAAAGGTTTTGAACTGGTGAGTTCAGAAAATAGGATTTTTATAACATTGATTGGTCCATGTATTCTTTGACAAATCACTTGGTCTTTTATTTTCTAAAATTTTAAAACGACATATTCAACTGTCATCTTTGAACACTATTTTGAATCTTTAACTGTACATTGTGCAGATGTTTTTGAGAGCCGTTTTGAGAAAATATTATTTTTTGTTTTTTTTAATATTGTACATACTTTAGGCGTTAGTATTGTTTTCAGATGACAGGCCGACAGAGGGATGCCGACAGAGTGCCGTTTTAAAAAACACTTCTTTGGTATCAGGGGACCCTAAAAGGTGTTTTTCCGATGAAATCTTGAAACCTATTTTCCGCAGTATTACACAACTTTTTCTACATTACTCCCGGTATACTCTGTACTCCATACTAACTATATATAT